GTCTGACGCGTCTGCCTCCGCGACCCGGAAGGAGAAGCGGCGATGGAAGATGAAGATGAAGATGATGAAGGCGCCTATCAGACAAGTCAAACTAGGTGTATCTGTCCCCCTTTTGAATCATGAGCCATATTGGGAGCAGGCGCGGAGCTTGAATTCAACTGAGCTTGACAGACATAGTTCTGCGAGGCTATAACAGGTACAATTATTTTAAAACGAACACTTGATACAAACAACATATAAAATCATGTAAACAAGATTTTGCAGCAAAAGCCTAGTTCTTCAACTCTTTTTTTTATCAGGAGTTGTGGAATACACGTCGTAAAATCCAATGGTCTCGCATTTTGGTTCTTGTGTCTTAATCTTCTCATCAATTAGGATAGATGCCAATGGAATTTTTCTACCTATCTGATAATCATATCAGACCAGAAATTACTTTGCGTCTGTGCTTTAAATTTTGTCGATTTCAGTCTTCAGTTCTTGATTTTCCAGCAAATCTTTTCGTCTTTTGAAAGCTGTGCTATTTTCGACTGGGCAGGCTAAGTTGATTATATTTACGTGCCTTTTTGCATTGTTTATCAGCACGAAATCCGATATTTTTCGGCTCATGTTGAAAAGTATTTTTTTTCTTTCAGCCTCTTTCCCTTCCCTCTACCCATGTCTGATGTTTGCGTTTCCCTTTAATCTTCGACCCAGATGATTTCAAGAACGGCGATTTGGACAACGTGTGACAATTTTCGTTTCATATCCATCTACTTTGGAAGAAGGCAGGTTATTGTAAAATTTTGTGTCAATCTGATTCATCCAATCACATTAAGAGTTGTGCTCTTCTTTTCCTTTCAGCGTTCTCGGAATACACTTTTTAACTGCGTATCACGTTTCACAGCATTCAGGTTTTCCCTCCTCTTTATATTGGCATATTAGCACAATTGTCTGAAAGATCTGGTCTGAACAATGGAAGTGCGAGTTTCGATTCTACTGGAAGGCAATCCTTGTTTTATTCATAGATTCTCTTCAGCAATGAACTTACTACGCGTTGTTTCAGATCGGGATTGCTCAGTTGAATGGCGTAAAACTCAGAACCAACGGTTCTTGAATAAAAGACCATGTCGAAGTCACTCGCCCTTTCTCTTTTCGAGTTTGATAAACGAGTACTACTCTGTCGGAAAAAAACAACAGACTAGACGCTAAGTCTGCCATATTGCTGTAGATTCGGATATAAAAATAGACAAGGCACTCCTGGCTGATGGCATGGAAATAGACATCAGCACAGCATTATCAACTTCATTGAAAAAAGGGCGCAAAATGTTTCAGTCATGAAAATGAAGCAGCACCGACGTTCCTACGCTGCCAAACTATCCTTTACCTTTTTCTTTCTTTAGGCCTCTGTTAGTCGTATTACTGTACAACTGTCGTGGGGGTCCGTAAACTTTTGTTACATCTCTGCAAAATGCGGTGAACACGTTATTTAAGTTCTGTTCTTTCTGTCTAGCAAATATGACTTTTCTAGCCATTACTGGTCTTTTTCTAGGTTGAATCGCTAATTTTTAGCCGATTTTGCCGTGTTGCTTGTTGTTCGCAGGGCAAGATTGGTGACATTGACAGAATGATGATAATTCGCGAAGAGGCCTTCGCCTATTCATTTCAACGTTAACTAATGGCGGTTTCTTAACGAAACCCTCCAGAAAATTTCCTAATTTTAAATTTTCATTCTTCATCTGTTTCATTTTTAAGCGTTCTCAGTGTAAATTTTTTTTCTGTCGTATCACAAGCGTTGAACTTGTTTGGGTTAAATTATATGCGTTGGCTTAATTGACGGTAATTTAAACAGTCAGACTTGCTCGAATAACGGAAGCTCTAATCCGCTAAGAATGATCTGATCATTTTTGGCGACTAGAGACAGTAGGCTGATACCAAGCCACTGAAAAAAGTTCAGGATGCAACAACTAAATATTCGCTTTTAATGACTAATGGAATCAAAAACTGTTTGGCAACCGTAGACAAAAATGATATGAAAGCAAACCGACATGAGAAGTAAAAGAAAGTTTGTAACCGCAGTCGTTCGAATCATCGTCTTCTTGCTATTTCCTGAAATGAAGATATCTGGAGCTTCTTTATTCATGAAGCTAATAGTTATGCGCTGATAAACATTAGCATGCCATGAAACAGGAGAGTCTTATTCTAAGAGAAGTGTGGATCTTTGGATTTCAGTTATATAACAAGCATAATGCGTAGGAAGAACACCGATTGACCAAGACTGTGGCGCAAATTCGAAATCTCATATTTCTGAGCAAAAGAACTACCGATTACGCAACTCTGATCGGAAGCAACATATGTTAAACACTTTTCTCAAAGTCAACCGATGACTGAGTTCGTGCACTTGAAAGTAGCCCTAGAAACGTACGACTTTGGAAATATGGAAGTTTTCTGTATCTATATGAAGAGAAAAGTGCCATAATTTTGTGTAATTCGTTGATCTTTTACGTTCGTTTTCTGGCCAGATCTGCTTTTGTGAAGTCCTCCGCCTAGCATTTCACACTTAACAACGGTGCATTTAAAATTCTGTAAATTCTCAGTGCAATAGTACTTCATTTTCTTTATTGAAAAATCATATGGTACGGCGGTAGGGTATACACGTTTTAGAAGAAAAGTGGCAAGTCGCATGGTACTCGACATATGAGAATTTATCCGAATAG